AAAAAAAGGGGGTCAATTTTTTTCGTATGACGGCTCACTATGAAAATGCTCGATTCAGTCATGGACCGTCTCTTAATCATTTGATTCAGCAATTAATCAGTTTACAATAGATACCTTAATCTATACAAATCATTTATATGTATCATTCTCCTATTTGTTGTTGTTAAGTACAAATCGTTTGACAGATCTTATTGGTTTGTAAAATCATATTTTGAAATATATAAATATTAAGATATTAGAAAAATTTCAGGTATTAACACATAAAAACAAGCGAATTTAGACATTGAATTTTCTTTTGAAATAAATGATGAATAAATAATGTCTATAAATCATTATTTCTATCTATCAGAATTTATAAGATGAGCCTGATATACTAGATCACTATTTTAGCTTTTTATTTGTAAAATTCTCAAAATCAATTATATATATATTTTAGTCGAAATTTTCTTCTTGGTCCCATGAATATCATTATCGAATAATGTTTTACAATTAAATATGATATCACCAATTCTAAATACGTGATACAGAATTGAAATGTGGTTTATCGTTTTGTTTTATTCCATTCAATAAAAATTCACTCAAAAGAATATGTTATGTGAACATAACATCATCGAGAATAACTTTATCATTTTTGTTACAATACACATAAATTCAACATTTCATTCTTTTTCTCTGTATATGTGACGTTATTGATCTCATTTTTAAAATAAAAAAATATTATTCTATTTCTAACAAAAACATTCTTAATAAATTTTTATACTAAAGATTAAAAAAACAAAACCATGACAGTCTTTTTTTCTATTTATATCTTATACTATTACATTTCATTCAAACAAAAAAAAAAGCACAAACACGCCGATATGAGAGAATAAGTAGATTTATTTCATTTCTTTTTTGTTCGGTTAATGGTAAGAAATAATTCAGAAGTCGAATATAAAAACGTGTTCCTTAAAAGGAATATAATATCGTATAAAAGTAATGACATTCAAACTTTTGTACCATAACATTTCGAGATTGAAACTGAAAAAAAATTCAACAAGTATTTCACATAATTGTGGTTTGTGAATAGTTTACTCAGATAACAAGAGCAGGGGGTGAGGGTGGCGACAAAAGAAAAAAAGCAGTTGAACAAATAAATATTTGAGATGATTGTTTGTTAACTCTTTACCCCCCATAGCGGTTCTAGAAGAGCCACTGATAAAAGAACTTTATGAATAAAGTATTAGCCTGTCGAATATGCTAATGGTATGGCCTAATCCAGCGAATATCCTATTTCTGGAGTGGGGCGGTTTGATTAATGTAAAAATTATGTGGTGGAAAATGGGAATTGAACGACGTCATAAGACTTAATTGTTTTTTGTTTGACCACATTATTGACTGAACAGAAGCAGCACCTATCTCATACTGTTGAAGTGATAGGAAAAACGCAACGAGTGAACCCATAAAAATTAACACCAAATATTGAATGCTTTTTTACACCTATTGTCAAATTTAAGTTTATTTCACTCTGAGCCATTTTGTAACGTCTGAAGTAATTTAATTCATCATAAATACTATTTCGACTTCTCATGAGTTGAGGTTGATAATGCATATATTAACTTTGTTCTTGATTATCTTCCATCTGTGTAACAGTGACTACATGGTCAATTGTGTTCCTTAGTATGTATAACTCGCAAAGTTATCATAAAGCTTTCGAAACACATCTAATTCAGCAGTGGACTTCTTCATCGATTAATATCACACAGAAATTCCAAAAGACCTCTATCGACTGTAAGTAGCAAATATTTTGTTTAAAAAATTTAGAATTTTTTCGCTTTTTTCAAAATTATCGACTTTGTAAGTCATATATCTCGAAGGCAGAGCAATGAAACAAGATATTTTTTTTACCAATCGATAGCTTGTGAAGTTCCCTACAAATAATGTCTTAGAAATTTTTCAGTCTCATGCTTCTTTTATTTTCTGGGTGTGGGTGTGGGTGTGGGTGTGGATGACAAGAAGATGCAGACTCGCACCCACTCTCACAGCAACACCCCAGCCACTCACACCCACACCCTGGAATCAAGTTGGATGACTTAAAAGTCGTTAACATTTAGATTGAATGAGACTGGACGAAGTTTTTCATTCGTGAACTTATAAAAAGATTTCTTTACTTCTCGATTCGATTCGAACCAGATCAAAGACAATTTGGATGAAATTATGAGGGAATAGACATGTGATAATGTTTAACAAAGAGATTATTTACAGTTCAAGTTTATATTTTTAATAGAATCAAGTAAATACTAATCATCGGTGATATTCATCACTTGATATTATAGTACACTTGTACGAAGTATATAACTATCATAATATTTTAATGACGGTACAACAATAATCAAAAGAAAGAGATGATGCACTTATGATGAGGGCATATCTGACAATATATAAATGAGTCATGTAACTTTGTTATTTATAAGTAGTATCTTTATTCTCTTCTTTTATTTCTTATCATCATTTTACGTATTTGCTTATGTGGTTGCTATATTATTTCATAATATTATTATATTGTGTTATTGTACGCTTGCATACAGATTTTTTTTTGTTATGACCAATAACAGCAGTTCTCGACAAGGACAGCTTTTTGATGACTATTCAAATCCTGATATTAACTTATACTTCGGATCACACGATGACATCGAAGAGTTGTGTAAAGTAATTAATTGGGCATATAGAGGTAAACCTTCAGTATTGTCGCCTGGAGAAAGTTACTCGGGTTGGATTGGTGAACAACATTTATTGAAAGGCCCACGAATTACGCCCAACGAACTTAGACAGTTGATAGATGATGAACAACATGCTGTTGTTCTTGTTGCAAAACTTAAGACGCCTTCAGGGTCAAAAATCATTGGCTGTCGGAAAATTAGCACATATGACAAAAATTTACAGATGACTGACGAAGAAAAACAGGATGTAGCTGTTGAATTTGGTCTGAATGCTGTGGATCCTGATTATCAAAGCCGAGGCATTGGAACACTGTTATATAATGGAGCTGTAGTAAGTTTGACATTGAGTTGTATTCAATCAACAGAAGAAGTAATACTCTTGATTTTTTAGCGTATTGCAAAAGAATATTTCAATGCACAACGTGTTTATTCTTATATCATACGGAGTAAACGAAATCAAATTGAATGGTGTTTACGACAAGGTTTTATGGATACGGGACGATTGGTATCTTTGCCACCCGAAGTACAACTTCAAGCGAAAGTAGATCTAGACGAACTTAAAGTTTCTGTTTTAACAAAACGCTTACAATAAAATACAGTCTATACAAATAGATGAGTCTAGCTACAATTTGCAAAGCATTCATGACATAAATGAATTACATGCGCAAAACATTTCTCAACAGAATATAAAAATTCGCTTCAAAAATTAGGGTGTGAATGTCGATATTGTGTTCACTAACACCCACACCCCACACCCCACACCCGTAATGTATATCAATCCAATTATGAAGTGTCTGAATGTGAATGAAAACGATTTATTTGCTGAGAGTGATTTAATCATTGCCGATCTGCTGAAAAAGTGTCCGAGCTTTGCAGCTCTCGATATAAGCAGTAACAAGACCACTGCGCTTGGTGTCCAACCTATTGTTGAAGTGCTGAAAAGCAATCGAACACTCTTGGATTTTAATATTGTGAACAATGATCTATCAGTGAAAAATGCAGAAAGTATGTCGAAGTCCACGATTTCGATCTTTGATGGTAGTGAAATAATTGCAGCAATGCTCATAGAGAATAAGACATTGATCAGCTCGATATCAGTAGTATCGAAATATCGGAAATTGGAGTACGAACGTTGGCTCAAGCTCTCATTAGAAATCGTTCATTGCCTTATCTTGAGATAGGCTCGAATGAATTATCAGACGCTGCGCTGAAATTGATCATTGGTGCATTGAACTCAAATGATTCATTGATCAGTTTTGATCTTGCATGCAATGATAACATGAGTAGTGTTGGAATGAAGAAACTTGATACAACGCTCTCGGTGAATCGGACTTTGCGACATTGGTACCTATCATATTATGAGGTGCGTGAGAGTGGAACGACGATTCTCACTCGAGCCCTACGAGTGAATCGTACTTTGACCTATCTGGATCTATCCTCCAATGTTTTAAAAACCATCGGCGTGCAAACGTTAGCTGATATACTTCGTGTCAACAGCACTCTCACCTCCATGGACATTGGTTTCAACAAGATCAGTGATGATGAAGTAAGGGCAATATCTAACATATTATCAGTGAATCGCATTTTGACCTATATTATTATGGAATACAACGAAATCACTGATAGAGGCGTTAAAATTCTATCAGACACACTTGCAACAAATAAATCGTTATTTCATCTTGAAATTATTGGTGACAATACCGGAATAACTTCGAGGACTACAGCAAAACTTCGATCGATTTATATTGACTTGATCGTTTCATAGAAAATAAATATCCATTTATGTTGAGAATGTGAATGAGAATATGATGTTGAATCTGTTCATGTGAATCCACAACTATACCCTCCAAATGATTTCCTGTCACAACAAAGAAAAAGGTTTTCTGTTAAAATTTCGAAAGAAAACACCTTCTTCGACTCACTAGCTGCTTTTCCATTTACAAAATGTCGAGTTCCTCGATTAAAAATTAACCTTTTGAGCTTGTTTTGATTTTACTCTCTAGACGCCTTACATCCAAACATCAAAACTGGGATCCATTCTATGTCTTTCTAATGAAATAAACGAAATAAATAGAAGTAAGGCCGTTTCAGGTCGGATCCAACAGTATCACCCTTCACACTTACCCTCACTCCCAGTAATCGATGAATCTATGCTGGCATTGATTTGATTCAATTGTTTGACAATTCATCAATCATAGATCGTACTAGCAAATCATGGTATAGTT